GACTGTTATCAAGGTTGTTCAAAGCGATTGGGATGGTGAGTACCGAAGTCTTTCTCTCGTGCTGCTTAAAGAAGGAATTCAACATCCCACAACTTATCCCCACCACTCCCAACAAAATGGAATTGTAGAACGCTAGCATAACCTCGTGCAGCCTTACCGTTTCGGTTTTGGTCATTTTTTTGTGGTAACGACGGTGTATATTATCAATAGACTACCTACCAAAGTATTGAACGGGGTCTCTCTATTTCAGCATCTACATGGCAAACCACCTCGTCCTTACGCATTTGAGTGTTTTTGGATGTCGATGCTACCCTCATACTCGATCTTTTCAATCGTACAAAATGGCATTTTAGTCACAACCCTGTGTCTTCCTTGGTTATAGTATGCAACACAATGACCAGGGATTGAAATAGCTGTTGCGATCGCGTTTGTCGCGATTAAGGACATAGCTGGAGCTATTGCACTATTGCGGACATAGTTGGAGCTATTGCGGGGTTTGTGGATATCGCGGTCATACAATAACGATATTGGAGGGTACTGCTACAGTTATTTCGTAGGCGCTATTATGGTTGCGAACCGCTATTTAAATCCCAGACCATGACTATAAATGCATGGCATCCAATGGTCGTATCTTTATCTTACAAAATGTAGTGTTTGGTGAACATATTTTTCCATTTGCATATGAAAAGTTTCTGCCAAATATTTCCCCTTCAAGTCGGCAACCAAGGGTGCCTCTTCACATAATTCCATGCGTTGATCGTGTATGTGGAACAACTAGTTTGTCGAGATCCTAGCCACCGACTGCAATTGGTTTGGGTCCTATCTTCTCCGACATGGCCTCATAACAACACACACATCCTTGCTATAATATTAAAGGGAAACTTGCATATTTGCCTCACGAGGATATGAATCCAGTGCTACAGGTGTTGTACCTCATTGTTCAAATACACCAAGCAATAACGAGGGGTCTGATTCTAGTCATGAGCATGTTGATCCACCATCTGTGATAAACACAAACCATCACCATATGATAACCAGAAGTAAGATGGGGTTTTTAAACACAAGGTATTTCATGTCAACAAGAGTTTCCATGATGGTTTGGATGCTATCGAACCAAATACAATTCAACAAGCCTTGGTCGATCCTCACTAGACAACTACTGTGCTAGAAGAACACAATGTCTTGATAAAAAATAATACATGGGAGCTAGTTTCATTACCGAGTGATCGATCAATCGTTGCATATAAGTGGCTATTTCGCGTCAAAAAGAACTCTGATGGTTTCATTGCCTGGTTGAAGCTCGCTTAGTGGCGAAGGGTTTTCCCAAAACCCTGTACTGATATTTGTGAATGTTGTTATTGCCTTGGTAATCTCTAGAGAATGGACGTTACGACAAATAGACATTAATAATACATTTTTAAATGGTGTTCTAAATGAGGAGGTTTTCATAGTTCAGCCATCTGGCTTCGAACAAGTTGCTTCGGATGGTTCATTGCTGGTTTTTAAACTTCGAAATGTGTTGTATGGCTTGAGGCATGCTCCAAGGGTGTGGTACACGGAGCTTCGCCAGTTTTTTGTTGATGATGTGTTTAGAAGGGCTGCTGCTGATGCTTCCTTGTTTGTTAAAGGTGCTGGAGATGCATCCATTTATGTTGATGACATAGTAATTACAGGAAAGTTTGATGAAGATGCCAACGCTATTATTTAGTTTTTGGGGCAGTATTTTTCTCCTAAGGATCTTGGTGAAGTAAACTACTTCTTGGGGATGAAGGTTGAGCGTAAAAATGGTAAATCTTACTTCGGCAACGTAATTTCATCAAGGAGCTGCTTATCAAAACAAATATGTATGGGGCTATAGCCGCACTAACCCGAATGGTTACATTTGCCAAACTCACTCAGGACGGAGGAAGACATATTGAAGATCCTCAAATGTATCGGAGTATAGTTGGGGCGGTCTTGTATTTCAGTCACACTTGTCCAGACATAGGCTTTATGTGAATAGGGTTGCTCAGTACATGCAACAACCCTATTAGCAGCATTGGATGGCTGTTAAGGAAATTCTACGATATTTGAATGGCAAACTGCATCATGGGATGTTGTTTCAAGCATTAGAGGAACATCTTCGTATTACACTTTCGTGGGTGCAGATTGGGCTAGAAGCATGGATGACAAGGGCTTGATTACTGGTTACTGCGTGTACTTAGACCGGAATATTGTTTCATGAAGTTCCAAGAAACAAAAATCAATTTCCTAATCTACCACAAAGGCCGAATACCGTAGTGTTTCGGATGCTGCATCTGAAGTCACGTGGTTGAAAACTCTTCTACATGACCTTGGCGTTTCATGTCATGCTAAACCCATAATTTGGCGTGATAACATCAGCATTGTCGCTATTAGTGCAAACCCAGTTCTTCATAGAAGATCCAAGCATGTGGAGCTGGATGTTCACTTCGTTAGACAAAAGGTGGCTGATGGAGTGCTACTTGTTAACTATGTAACAACCAGGAAACAAGTCACTCTCTAAAGCAATTTTTGTTGGCTTCAGACAAAGGTAGCTGTTGAGACGACGTTAGAGAATAAAGAAGTCGGGAGAATGTTAGACCATGAAGAAAAGAGATGTTAGCAATAATAGCTTTGCTGAGCTGGCAGTAGTTTGTTAGAAGAATCTAATGTGCTATCACTAGAGTTGTTAGGGTTTGTTGCATGGTCATTCACGTTTTATGAGTGTGTTATTAGCTATATAAGGGTGTCATCCTTGTACATCTAAACATATGAATTTCCTTTGAGCCTTTGTTAATCTGTCATCTCTCTCATGCTCATATTCAATAAACCTTTAAAGTATTTCAACAACAAGGGAAAGGGCTAATTAATTTACAAATTTTCTAACGAACCCAAGCTTGTTTCTTCTCTTACTTTTATGGCCTCTTTAATTTATGGGTAACTAGAAACCTATGTGGTATTGATATTGATACAGGGACGAATACGGGAAAGGGAAGGGAAACAAAATTTTCTAAAATTACAAGGTAAGGGGATAGTAAGGGTACGACATATATATATTTTTAAATATAAATAGATGTAAAAAGTCATAAATAAAGTCAATACTTCGTAGTAAATCAGATACATCCCACCAATCATCACTCAAAAGCTTTTCCTTCATAAAGTTTACTTTTTCCCATGCCGTATTCTCTATAAGAATTTCATTCATCACTTATGACCATTATTTGAATTCCCCTACTTGATAAGTTTAAACCTCTTAAACATCACAATGATCGAAGCAAAACGAGTATCGACAACTGAAAATAACTTAAGAGGACTAAATATTTGGAAGATTACCAATCTCATGTTATGTTTCATGATGAAATTCTTGATTTATATGGCATCCCCATGAATTTCAGTAATACAATTGCACAAGGCATATGTTTCCTCATTTTCCTTATATTTTTTTCCAAACAAATGTTTTTCAAGGTAAGATTAAGTGTATGGACAACACATGTTGTTCAATAAATATGAGGATACATGCTCTCAATAATCTCTTTTGCCCTCTTACAATTAGTTGCAGTGTCAATAATTTCCTGCACCACATTTTGATGACCCACATTTATTGTACCCCATCTTACAATTGCCAATGAAAAACTTATCTTTGACTTACCAAAACAATTCACATATTTAAGAAACATAGACCCATTTCTAGAAGTAGCCATGAAATTAATGGGAGGTTTTCTTGTTGAATCACTCCAATCGTTACATACAATAGTTAACCCCTTTTTTCTTGCCATGTTACTTTAATCGGATGCAAGAGTTTCTCAACATTATTTTTTTCTTGTTGGAGCAATGTGGTTCATAATTTATTATAACTAGGGGGAACATAACCAAGTATATTGTGAGTTGTAGTAAAAGTGAAAGCTTATGATAATGAGGATTTCTAACATGATTAAAAGGCAAACTATCCATATAGAACATTCTTGTAATTTTTATCTAATTGTGCCCTAGCATTCATATCGAATTATCTAGCAAGAGGTGACAAGCTAGGTTTTCTCTTCTTATGAGAAGAATTAATCTCTACTACAACAAAATACGTTTTTAGCAGCGTGTTTTTAGTCATATAGAGGTGTTTTTAAGCGCGGCTAAAAACCTTTGTGGCACAAAAACAAACGACGCAAAAAGCGACACTGAAACAAACACCGCAAAAAAGCGACACTTGTCATTGACAAATGCCACTAAAGGTAATGATATTTAGCGGCGTTTTTTTATAAATGCCGCTAAATATTCTGACATATAGTGTCGTTTGTTCCAAAAAAACGTCGCTAAATGTTATGTCATATAGTGGTGTTTGTAAATGTAAAATGACGTTATTGACTACGTATATAGTGACATTTTCTGTATAAATGCTGCAAAATATCTAGAACTTTAATGGCGTTTTTAAAAAATGCCAGTATTGACTATGTATTGAGTGGCTTTTTTTATACAAACGCCACGAATTAAAACTAATTTTTCAAATGATGTTTTCTACTCTTTTGTTACCCAACTTTAACTTGTAGCATTATCTAATAAACTTGACATCCATAACAACAAACTTGAAATCTATAATAATAAATCAAAGTTTACATTAACGTAAAATATAAATGTAGTTCAACATTGTTAACTAGAATAAAAAATAATAACACATACGATGGTGGACTCTGGGGTTGATTTTATCGTATCATATGCATCATAGCTTTAATAGACTACAAAATATTCTCCAAATATTTTGTATTTACTGTTGTATATTTAGTTGCCTAAATTATAACCTAATTACTAAATTATAGCCTAATTACTAAATTATAGCCTAATTGTTAGGATTATATCTACTAATGACTGTGTATATATTGAACCCCTGTGGTAATGAAAAAGGCACGGAATTACATTCCTTCAAGGTATTAGCTACGGTTGATCTATTCTAGCTTCGCAACCTTATTTTTTTCTCTTCCTCTTATTCTATGTCTTCTGTCTTTCCGTCTGACATGGCTCCCACATTATCTTCCTCATCCTTTCACCCTGCTCTTGTTGTTTCTAACATCAAGACACATGTTCCCATCACTCTTGAGATGGAGAAGGTCCAGTATACAAATTGGGCGGAGTTATTCAAGGTCCATTGTCGTTCTCACAAGGTTCTTCATCATATTATCCCACCGAAATCTAAGGACGGGAAGGCCACAGAGCCAGCCACCCTTAGTCAGGAAGAACAAGAGCTGTGGGATACGTTGGATGCTGCTGTCGTTCAGAGGATTTATTCCACGATTTTGACAGATCTCTTGAATGTCGTTATTGAAGCCGATATTTCTGCCATGACTCTATGGAATTGTCTTCGCGATTTGTTTCAGGATAATGAGAACTCTCGTGCCGTTTCCTTGGAACACGAGTTTAACAACACCTACTTGAAGGATTTCTGCATATTGCCAGTACCTTAAAACACTTTCCGACCAACTCAAGAATATTGGTGCTCCAGTTTCAAACAATCATCTTGTTCTTCGCATGGTGGGTGGTCTCACACCGGCTTACAAGGGAGTTGCTTCTGTTATTCGCCACAAAAAGGTACTACATCCTTTTTATGAAGTTCGATCGATGTTGGCCTTAGAAGAAACCAATATGAAGGAGGCGACGGCTGATGATGCAATGATGGTGACTAATCATGACACTGATGAGATTTCTAATCATCATTCTCCAGGTCGCGCACGTGGGAAACAAAACAAGCACCGCAACAACAACAAAAATCGTAAACCTACTAGTAGTGGAGTTCAGACGTCGGGTGCTGGACGTGGTGGCAACTGTGGAGGTGGTCCAAACTTTGGCGATGGTCAGCAGGGTCCGATGCAACCACCATGGGCTATGCCTCCTTGGTGGACATGGATGCAACCAACTTGGGCCATACCTCCTTGTCCATATCCGACTCAACCTTGGGGTAGGCAAGTTGGACCACGACAGCCTGGTATTCTAGGAGCACGACCCCAGCAACAGTAAGCCTATGCTACAACATCCCAGTGGGCTCTAATGGATATTGAGTCCGCCATGCACACCATGTCTCTCTCTCAACCGGATCCAAACTAGTATATGGATAATGGGCGACGTCTAATATGACATCAACACAAGGTAATCTCTCGTCTTATGTTAATATGAGCAAAGATAATGGTGTTACTGTTGGTAGTGGTCAGTTAATTCCAATTCGTGGTTACAGTCATACCTTATTACCTTCCCCGAACCTACCTTTGTCTCTCAAACATGTCTTGCATACTCCGAATCTTATTAAAAATGTAGTGTCTATTCAGAAATTTACAACTGATAATAATGTGTCAGTGGTGTTTGATCCTTGTGGGTTTTCCGTGCATGATTTACAAACGGGGAGACGTCTAATGAGATGTGATAGTACCAAATCTCTCTACCCAATCACTCCCACCAGGCCGCATCCAGCCTCCTCTCCTACTGCCTTGCTTGCTTCAACGCTTTGGCATGACCGTTTAGGTCACCCGGGCGACTCCATTTTATCTATTCTTCAGCAAAATAAACTGATTACTTGTAATAGTCCATCTAAGTCTACTACTTGTCAATCTTGTGTACTGGGAAAACATATTCGATTGTCTTTTATTCTTTCAACTTCTCAAACTTGCATGCCTTTTGATATTATTCATAGTGATCTTTGGACCTCTCCAATTTTGAGTTCTTCGGGACACCGTTATTATGTGCTTTTTTTGGATGATTATTCGAAATTCTTGTAGACTTTTCCCATTGCTAATAAATCACAAGTATTCTCCATTTTTACTAAATTTCAAGCTCATATTCGGACCCAGTTTGAACGAGATATCAAAACCATACAATGTGATAATGGGGGAGAGTTTGATAATGCCTCTTTTTGGAAATTCTATGAGTCCCGTGGCATTTCTTTTCGTTTCTCCTGCCCTTATACCTCCTCACAAAACGGAAAGCCCAAACAAAAAATAAGATCCCTTAATAATATCATCTGCACACTATTGTTTCATGCCTCTTTTCCACACTCTTTTTGGCATCATGAGCTTCATATGGCAACCCATCTTTTGAATATTCTTCCAGTACACTACTAGCCGATGCGTCTCCTCTACAAATTTTATACCACCGGGTTCCCTCTTATTCTCACATTCGGGTTTTCGGGTGCTTGTGTTATCCTCTTATTTCATCCACGACTATTCACAAATTACAAGCTCGATCCACTCCCTGTGTTTTCTTGGGTTATCCCGATAATCATCGAGGCTATAAGTGTTTTGATTTATCCAACAATAAAATCATAATCCGCCAGCATGTACAATTTGATAAAACTATCTTCCCTTTTGCCAAAGTCCATCAACCTAGTACATGTGATTATGATTTTTTGAATGATGGCGTGTCGCCATATCTTCTTCATTAAAACCAACCACAACAACCTCCACTTTCTTCTCCTACAGCCAGTCATGTCTTCTCCAGCCTCTCACTCATCTATGAGCAGACAGTTCGCAGTCCCATCTCCTCCAAAATCCTCACCAATTCGGCCCAAACCGCCCCCTAATCGATTCGAACGCCTTGTCACCCGCAACCAACATGGTATCTTTAAGCCAAAAACTATATTTGACCCATCCGAGGCCCACACTATCACGGTTACGAGATCTCCTCTCCCCCGTAACCCTATGGCTGCACTTCGTGACCCGAATTGGAAGTTGGCTATGACTGACGATTATGATGCTCTTATTAAAAATAAGACGTGGGATTTGGTACTCCACCCTCTTGGAGTTAATGTCATTCGTTCTATGTGGATTTTTACTCATAAAATAAAGTCTAATGGTTCATTTTAGAGGCATAAGGCCCGTCTTGTAGGTGATGGTAAAACTCAGTGTGTTGGTATTGATTGTGGAGAGACTTTCAGTCCGGTAGTGAAGCCAGTAATAATTCGTACTGTGCTTAGTCTTGCCCTGTCGAAACAATGGTCGATTCATCAGTTAGATGTAAGCAATGCTTTTTTGCATGGTGACCTCAAGGAAACGGTTTATATGCATCATCCTATGGGATTTCGAGATCAAGTGCATCCTGATTATGTATGTTTACTGCGTAAATCTCTCTATGGGCTCAAACAAGCCCCTCGGGCGTGGTACAAGAGGTTTGCTGATTTTGTTTCTTCCATTGGTTTCTCTAACAGTAAATCAGATACTTCCTTATTTCTTTACAAACACGGGTCGGATATGGCATACCTATTGCTTTATGTTGATGACATTATTTTGACGGCGTATTCTGAGCATCTCCGCAAGTCTATAATGGCTCATCTCAACTCTGAGTTTGCTATGAAGGATTTGGGTTTCTTGAACTATTTTCTCGGCATCAGTGTGACTCGACACAAGGGTGGGTTGTTTTTATCACAACAAAAATACGCTGAGGACATCATTGATCGAGCAGGCATGCATTCTTGTAAGCCCAATCACTCCAGTTGATACTAAGCCGAAGGTAAGTGCCACCAGCGGTGCACAATATGCTGATCCAACGCAGTACCGCAGCCTTGCGGGTGCCCTGCAATATCTCACATTTACGCGGCCGGATATTTCCTATGCAGTTCAACAAATTTGTCTCCATATGCATGACCCTCGGGATGAACATATGAACGCTCTCAAGCGTATCATCCGGTATATCCAAGGTACTCTTCATCTTGGTTTACATATTTTTCCTTCCTCCATTACTGATCTTGTCTCTTAAACGGATGCGGATTGGGGAGGTTGTCCCGATACTCGACGATCCACCTCCGGGTATTGTGTCTTTTTAGGTGACAGTTTGATCTCATGGTCGTCCAAACGTCAGCCTACGCTTTCCCTATCAAGTGCCGAGGCAGAATACAGGGAAGTTGCCAACGTTGTCTCGGAATCTTGTTGGCTTTGTAATCTTCTTCTCGAACTCAATTGTCTCATCCGTTAAGCAACAATGGTTTACTGCGACAATGTGAGTATTATATATCTTTCTGGAAATCCCATTCAACACCAGCGTACGAAGCACATTGAAATGGATATTCATTTTGTTCGAGAAAAAGTTGTGCGGGGTGAGGTTCGTGTTCGTCATGTGCCATCTAGGTACTAGATTGCGGATATTTTCACGAAGGGGTTGCCCCTTATATTGTTTGACGATTTTCGGACCAGTCTTAACGTTCGAGATCCTCCCGTTTCGACTGCGGGGGAGTGATAGACTACAAAATATTCTCCAAATATTTTGTATTTACTGTTATATATTTAGTTGCCTAAATTATAGCCTAATTACTAAATTATAGCCTAATTGTTAGGATTGCATCTACTAATGACTGTATATATATTGAACTCCTCTGGTAATAAAAAAAACACGGAATTACATTCTTTCAAGCTTGAAGTTGATTTTGAAAGTCTCCACTAATACAGAAACTAGCATCCTCAGGATCACCCACAGGATCTCACACCTCTCTTCTTGTTACATAATGCAAAGCAGTAACAGCACCACTATGACCCCTCAATATGCGAACATTGGTTTGTGTTCTCTTCAGCCCAGCAGCAGGCAAATCTTTTTTGCGTGCATTCTCATTCGCTGATCAATTAAAACATAAATAGCCATGAAAACATTTGGTCCATTTCCTCAATATAGAACACTCTAGGTATCTAATGCTAACAAAAGATATACATGCTGCACCATCAGAAGCCTATTTACGAACACGACAAAATAAGTTTGTTCTTAATGTTGAATCCCTACTAAACATGCTCCGCACCCAGCTCCTTCCAACACCAGATGCCTCTACAGGTTGGTAATTCTCATCCACAACATCCTTTACACGTGGAGATTGCAAACCAGAAGGCAATACTGACTGTAGCTTCACAGATGTGACGCCCCAATAATTGATACGAAGTTGCTCAATATGTGACAAAAGTACTCTGAGCTTTATCTGAAACATAATTGGTCACCATCAAAGCAACGAATATATTTATTTTTTATTTAAAAAAAGAGTTCCATGGACAATCAGGCCAGGAATGGACCAAATGATTATTATTCAGAAGCTTCAAATCCAACATAAACAAAGTGCTTCAAACCACAGGGAGAGAGTAAGAGAGATGTCAAAAAAAAAGAGAACTAGTTGAGCAAACTAAAACTGAATTCTGAACATGTCACAACATTTTAATTATTCTTCATAATGAGCTGGCACACTTAATAAGGAAGAACGAGCGACTACAAGTTCCTATCCCAGTAGTAAAGTACAGCTAAAGTAGTTCCTAGTCTCAACTTTTAAAGCATATGTATTGGAAACTATTTTTAATTACTAGTGTGTCTTCTGTGTGAAAGCAAAGCAAAAGCACTGACTTCTAGCTTGTGCAAAAGGGATACTTCTGCACAGGTTGAAACCTTAAAAGCCAAACTGGAGGAATATTGCATGAAGGAGAGACAAGGTCCTAGGTGGAAATCAAAATCAAATTCAAGAACAATTTTAAATTTGGGTTCTTTAATTTAGACTTAGATTACACTTTTATTTATTTCCTTAAGTTTATTGACTATTTTTTTTTATTTCAGTTGATATACTTCCCTTTTAGAATAGGTTTTCTATTTATGTAATAAGACTGCTCCATATTTAAAGGGTCATATGAAATAACTAAACCCTATGCAGAATTTCTATCAAAAGCCCTAAAGAGATTTGGATCTCTCTTTAATGAGTCCTAAGGTTTCAGTATCCCTTTAATGAGCTAAAAGGTTTCAATCTCCCTTTGATGGGAAGAACTATCAATTCCAGTCACAATTGGTCGTAACAAATAAACCCAAAATTTGAACACCGAATTCAAGACATGAGAATTAAACTGACTATGAACTTGGCAGGGAAAATGGAATTAAGTGGGAAGGGTGTATGCAGGACAGATGTTTAGAGAGGTCCATATTCAATATCATTTTATTCTATGACAAAGCATTGTCTGATCAAGAAGCTGTCGGCAGATTAGTGGAGCCTTTGCAAATAGAATTGACAGAAGCTAAAAATACCTGAAGCTGCGTGAGCATCCAGAGAAGAAACGAGCCATGGAGTTAGAGAAAAAGGCCAAACAACACACATGCTGTAATCTACAAGACTCAAGTAAGCGGTTGAATATTCAGGTAATTTTTATTGACGTAATTTGTTGCATATGTGCTAGGTTCTAAAATTATGAATTCTTTTAACTCTGGTTAACAGGAAGGAGAATGTTACTTTGAAGCTTTAGTATAAATATTTAATATTCTATTATGGCAGTTCAATTATTTGAAGTGCTTATCTATTATGGCAGTTCTAAAATTCTAGGATCCTAATATGGTAACATCTTTGTAATCGAAACAGAAAATGCTATAAAAAAACACTGAGATAATCAAAAAGCTATTCTTGGTAATTCGTTTAGGAAACGAATATAAAAACAAATATAAGTGCTTATCACGTAGTAACCATGTTCAAGTGAAATTTCCCAGAGTTTTAAGCATAAAAACAAATATAAGCAGTAAATGGAAAAAGGGTTGAAAACTAGCCTACAATATAAAAAAAACTTCCTCCATGTACAAGACATAAAGTTCCAAAGATTAACCATGAATATGCATGGAACACTGAATCTGGATAAAATCAAGTGAGACACAAAATAGTATGAACAAGATAATTGAAACCCAACCCTTCGAATTCCCTATCCCTGAATCTTGATAAATCTTTCCTCCAAAACTTCCAATTTCCCAGAACTAGTATAGCCCTAACTTTCATTTTTATTCACTCTCTAAACTTAGGTTCACAAAGAATCGCTTAGTCTCGAAGTAAACTGCAATTTATTGTCTTTCTTAAATGTTTTCTTTATTTACTCAACTAGCCAAACAGAAGCAACAAGGAACATTTAGACAGAAAGAATCAAGGGGAAACATAAGCAAACCATTTTCCTTCTTGATATCCTCTAGGCGCCTCTTGCGACGGCTGGCCCAATCGGTGAAGCTAGTGCAACCCTCACCGTCGGGAGCGCAGTCGGAGGGTCCAGAGAATTTACTATCATTGAAAGCGAATCCAAAATCACAGCCAGAGATGGAGGCACCACGCGTGTAATCGGAGTCCATCTCGTTTATATCTCTTGTTACAAACCCTAAACTTAAACCCTCTTATTTTTTTACTCCCCCTTTTATCTTTAAAGAAAGGAACTAAAAATACAAGATAAGAAAACACGTATCTGAACAAAAGAACTGGGTTTAGGTAAACGGCAGGAATAAAAATGTCACTAAAATATGAGTCTATAGCGGTTTTTTATAAAAATATAATTAAAGTACGTGTTTTTAGTGATGTTTGTATACAAACGCCACAAAAATAAGAGTCTATAACGGTGTTTATATAAAAACACCATTAAAATACGAGTCGTATAAAAATGTCACTAAAGTATGAGTGTTTAGCCACGTTTGTATAAAAACGCCACTAAAATATAATCTTTAGCGGTGTTTATATAAAAATACCACTAAAGTACGAGTATTTAGCGGCGTTCTTTAAACAAACGCGCTAAAAATGCTACTATAAACCCATTTTGCTATAGTGTCAACTCCATCTTGAGATTGACTGGGCAAAGAAACTTCTCTAGTTGCTCTTAGTTTCTGTTTCTTCTCCCACTTCTCTACCAACCATACCATTTCAAGTTTTTAACTTTTAGTTACTCTTTTGCAAATTGCAAATCATTCACCTGAAATTTGAAGCAAATGTACTTTTATCATAGTATAGCTTTCATTACGAGTTTCACCACAAATATTACATCAGAAATTCCAAGTTACTCTAATAGTCTCTGGCTTTTCTATCTCTGTCACATAATCCTACGATAGAGATAAATTCTCATTTTGGGATAACGAAATTGACTCACTCCCACTAGTATTTCTAGTCCCACTACCACCTTTAGATGTCATATTTAAACTAAATTGATTTGTTTACATTAAACAAAAAAAATCAATTGAGTTCAAAGATCATGTATCAATCTAATGGAATTAAACACTTGGAAAGCTAGAACTTGAAAGCAAATATATCTACTTATAGAATTACAAAAAAAGAAAAGAAAAGATTCAACTATGAAATTTTATTAAGTTTAATCTAGATGAAAATATACAATAAAATTCCATTTTTATCAAGTTTCATTTTCCAAAATACAATAATGAAATTTGAATGTATATGGAGTGAAAATCGAATTGGTAAAAAGTTAAAAGTTTGAACACAAAAAATTGAATTGGTTGAATCAATTTAATCAACATCATCCTATTCATGCCTATCAAAAAGCCATTCGCTTAGTTTGAGTGGTTAAGGCGTGTGCCTGCTAAGTACATGGGGCATTCCCGATAGAGCTCGAATATCTCAGGCGACGTTATGTTTTTGTTTTAGGCATTCTATTAGACGTCTAACTGACATATAAAATAAGCCTAGACTATGTTTATAAGCCAAATTCAAAGTAAAACGAAAAACTGAAATTGTATAGAAAATCTAAAATAATTTTCAAAATTCTTGGCTCTAATTAAAAAAATATAAGATTTGGGTTATCTCGATTTTAGTCATAAATGTCAAGTTGAACTAACACAAATTTGGCCAAAAATAATTAAAAGAATATTGGGAAGATTAGGGTGGAGTGGGAGATGTACTAACAAGAGTTTGGCATATCGATTGAGCCTATCACCAACTATGTCGAGAGAATGAAAGGATTTAGAAGTGGCAAGAGCTTTATCGAGCTTAACCCGACTATAAAATTTAAATGTAGATGCAGCATCGAATTTGAATTAATAGGATATGCTTACCATCAAAACATGAACCGTGGAGACCCATAGCGAACTGAACCGTGGAGACCCTCACCAGCACGAATTTGGATTTTGGAAGGGAAAAAAAGTTTCTGGTAATGAAAGTGAGAGACGATTGATGAGTGTTCTATTTTGTTACTAATTACTCCATGTTATCTCTTTAATGTTACTAATTTGGGCTATTTATGTTCGATTTGCGTAGGACTCTATTTTCCAAAAAACAACGTTTAAATGGTAAGTTCTGTAGTTTTTTTATTTTCAGGAATCAAGGCTGGACACATGGGCATGACTTTGGGCATGATGATACTGATGTGGCAGAATCTACAGTCCAGTTAGTGATGACTTCTCGAAGACGACCCAGTCAACAGAATAAAAAAGGAAGGACAGACTGATGAAAAATCTTTAAGGTTTAAGAATTGTAATTGAATTTAAATATTTGATATTTATTATTTAATTATTTAGGATTCTAGTTTGCTATTGTTTAGGATTTAAGTATTTGAATGCTTTTAGAATTATCTTTAGGAATTTTATTTTCTTTAGGATATCTCAAGCTATAAATACCTTAGGGTAAAGCTTGAAAAACATGTACTGCTTTCAGCTTTTATTTGCTTGGGATATTTTTTAAAGATTATTTTCTTCTTCATATTTTTTTATTTTCTTTACTTTCTTTTACATGCTAAGTATGATTTCTATCAAGCTTAGCTAATTTTTCATTTAGCCGATAGCTAAGTGACGACTCAATCCATTTTGTGAGAATTGAAAAGCACTTCATACCTTCATATATCTTACTTGATTTTCTACAAAATTGGATTAGCAATCGACCTCTCAGAAATCAAGATCGGGATCTTATTAAGACACGATAATTTGAGCACGGGCTTTTTCAGCACTCAAAGTTACATTGGTGTTAACGTTGATAGCCGTTGTTAATCCAAACAATGAATAAATTCCAATGATTGACTTTGGGAAATTAGTTCACCGGAGAGAAGAGTAAGTTACAAGGGTTGGGCCTTGTAGACTGTAACAGACAATAATCCGAAGTAAAATATCTTTCTGTGATCAAGACGAATTGAGGCGAAGCGAAGCTAGATGCTATCTCTTATCATAATTACTTTCAATTATTTATTTTTGTTCTTTCTTTATTGCTTTGTTATTTTCAATTTATTCTGCTAAACCCCATTTTATTTTCCTCTTACAGATTTCTTGGTTAAAGATCAATTCAAATCGACATTGGAATGTTCTAAGTCCATGCGGATCGACCCTTTCTTCTCTATATTACATTTATAGCTTATTTATCTGAGAAAAAGAATTATTTATTTGACAATTATGACGTTTGTCAACGATATTAAGAAGAGAATGTTTTTGAGAAAGACTATAGAAAAAGGGAATTGAGGAGAACCTGCCAAAATTACGTTTTGTGTGAGATTTGTTTTTAAATTTTTAATGAAAAATGTCAAAATTACCCATGGAGACTCATGTGATAGTCACATATCATCCCAAAACATCCCTAGATAAGCATCAAACATCCTCGAGATCATTCAATCATACCTCGCCATCATGGTAGGTCTCCGGTACGTACCCGAACCATCTCCATGTCGGGGATATATCGGGTACTTAAAACGGGGGTTCCTTTGTCATCCATATGGTTCATAGCTAGACGCAAATAAGAACATGTTTTTTGATCTAAAACTAAGACGGAAGATGAATGCAACTAAGGAAAAAGGAGAAAGTGAAGAGTGAGTTCTAAAGAAGAATATACCCAAGCGTAGATATTAGGAACTGGTCAACGGAACAAATAACCAGTCAATGGGCCAGGTAAGCATTTAACGGTATAGCACAACTTTCCGTCACCCAAGCTAACGACAGTTAATGTCGAGTTATCATTTTTTTATAAATCGATAACAATAGTAACCAATTTGTAAATTTTGAAAGTTGAATAGGAAAAATAAAAACATACTCAAATTTTAGTGATCATTTGTATAGTTCACCCTAAAATTAAAGACCAAAACAGGTAAAGTTGAGTGAAAAAATAGTTTACCTAAACATTTATATGCTAGAGTGTGTTTGGTAAAGTTTTTAAAAATACTTTTAGTTAAAAGGCCTGTTTTAATTGTAAAATCAATGTCAAATATGTAAAAAATGGAAAACAATTATGGTGGGAATGGTGGTTTCAAACCTAGAATTTTTAGCTTTTTAATTTTCAACTTTTCGTTTGGAAGCAAATTATAATTTTAGCAAAGGCTTCACTCAATTATGTATTTACATTTATTTTAATAATATAATACAAACATCTCTAAAAAATAATTTATTACTTTTAATAATTTATATTAATTATTTAAAAATAATTATAATTTCTAATTTATATAGTAAAATATTAATAGTGAGTTATATAGAATATATTTTCATTTTTATAGTTTAAATTGATATAATTCATATATAATAATAAATTTTTTGAATTTATTACAGTTTAAATTGATATGATTCATATATAAGTGTAAATATAATTTAAATGCTATATTTTTTATTTACAACATAATGTTTATAATGAACATTTTATCTTTTCAAACTCATTTTAAGAGCAATCCCAAACAATTAAATTTTAAACTGCACTTTCATACAACAATTTTAAAAGTTCGTTTTTACCACACTTTTAAAAGTCAGTTTTCAAAAGGTATGCCAAAATGGCCCTTAAAATATGTTTCACTTCGATCTTTAATGGGTTTCGATCTGAACTAAAAGAAATTATATATATATATATATATATATAAATTGGGCCTTATTAAAAACTCCTTCAAAATCCTATAAGGGAAAAAAGTGCCCAAGGAACTGCTATAAGAAGGAAAAAGATCGATTGATACACTGGCAGTAATTATCTCAGGACAAACCGAGTTGAAAAACATAGAATGCCCCTAAATAAGGGCCCAATATGCTAAGGTATGTGCCATAGTGTTACAAGTTCTAGAAACATACTTAACAATAAAACCTTTATTATAATCCAAGATATCACGAGCCTCCTGCAAATGGAAACCATGGGTAGAAATATGCAAGAACAAACACAAGATGCTCTTGAAGAGCCTATTCAAGGGGAAAGAAAAATAACATGCCCAAGGGAGTACAACTATGTTAATGATGGTGAGTTTTGGGTGATCCACCCAAAGGGGTAACTACTATATTTTCTCTTAGAAATATTTGCAATTTTGTCGCATATATCTCATGCTTAGAGCCTAAAAATATCACAAAAGATTAAAAGATGGATCTTGGATATTGGCTATACAAGATGAATTAAATCAATTTGAGGGGAGTCAAGTATGGATATTAATTGAAAGGCCTAGTGAAAAATATACTATAGGTACAAAATGGGTGTTTATGAATAAATTATATGAAAGT